TTGCCTCCCGGCACCGCCTCCTTCCGGCGCCGCGAGCGCGTGCGTCCGCAGCGGCTGCGCAGAGGGCCCGGCGCCAGGTGGCGGTGCGACCTGCGGCAGGTGTGCTCCATGCGTCGGAGGGCTGCGCGCCCGTGTGTAGCTGCTGGGTACCCTGCTTAGGACTCTTGTGCGCGCGTGAACCACCGGGCCCCAGGAAACGTTCTTCACGGCTGGAGGAAAACCCCACCTCCTCCCGAGGGGCTCAGCCCCCGAGCGCGAGCGCCCCCAGTCAGCACGGTGCACACGCCCAGGAGACCGCACCTCCAGAAAGCCGCTGGGGCTTACTACCTGTGTTCTTCCTTGCTGTGAAACAGATTGATTCATCAGTGCTCAGAGCTGGTTTTAAAAAAAAATCTCTGCAAGGTCTCGTAAAACTAAAAAGGGGTAGAGATGCATCCGTTTCTGAAAGAAAAGACCCATCTTGTCCCAAATGGAATAAATACACGCACAGTGAAAAAAACTCGCCCCCAACACGTGTCCAACCATTTCACTGAGTAGAATTTTTAGGTCCTGTCCCCAAGGCGCTGATAAAAATAACTTAGACTACCAAAATAAGACTTAAAAAGCGAAAGGGGGGGCTGGGGATTTAGCTCAGCGGCAAAAGCGCCTGCCTGGCAAGCGCAAGGTCGTGAGTTCGGTTCCCGGGACCGGAGAAAAACCAAAAAAAAAAAAAAACAAAACAAAACAAAAAGCGAAAGGGAAAGCCCTTTAATAGTCTGACCATTGGTGGGGTTCAGGACCAGACCTGACGAAGATATGGCACCAGAGGCACTATGGAAGGCAGACAGCTTTATTACCCTAGCGGACTGGGGGACACCCCCGAGTCACCAGCCCTTTGTTAAAATAAGGTAGTCATTCATATAGGTTTTCAGAAGTACAAAAGACATAACAGGATATTTTATAATTGCTTACATGGGCTGGGTCCTGTGTTGTCAGGGAGACTTATTCTATGTAAGCTAATTGGAATTACTATCCTTTAACATGGGGGAAAGAATCAATCATTGTCAGAGACTGGGCAGAGGTGTCCTTGAGGCGATAACTCTCTGAGACTTAGAAGTAAGAAAAACGTCACTGGCTCTGGGAGCACCAGGGCTCATTAAGTTTTGTAGCTCTCTAATTATGAGAATCAATTGTGTTTCCCAGTCTCATTCTTAAACACATTAGAAATATACTAGTGTTAGAAATATAGGATTAAAATTTTCATAACATTTAAAATAGCCCCTATGGAGAGCCCTTCCCAGTCCTCCTCACGGCCCAGGAAGTTTATATTTGTAATCCCGTGAAAAGTTATTGGAATTCTAGCGAATCAATTCCAATCTACCACATCCAGGGCAACCCATGGTGAGAATAAAGACACTAAGACATATTTGTAGTTATGGGGAGGCAAGGGGTCCTAAGTCCAGCCATGATGATGGCTATCCGGAACAAAGGCCTAGGCCCAGGGCTGAACCCAGATTTTATTCACTTGTGAAGAAGGGAGTGGCCTGAGGATGAGTGACTGTGAGAGTGGTGGGAAGTATGCGAGTGCCGTGAGCTGGGCTAAGTAAGAGGCCTGCCATCACCTCTGCCACATGCAGAGAGAAGGATCTGCAGAAAGAGTAATCTGCATTACACAATTGAGATAGCATCTAATGTTTTGGGGTCCGTGCTTCAGCTCTGATGTGTAATCTTTGAAATCCCAGGAAGTCATAGCCTCTCTTCCCAACGCTTGATCCCAGCTGACAACGTGGAGCATTGGCTCACACATCCATCTCATCCTGGCTCACTTGAGGGAGCAACAGGGGGTCAGGGAAACATGCCTGCCATCTGCAAAGACTATCATCAGCACCTCGGCTAGACCGATAAGCGTTGCTTAAAGCCAACTGAAGGGATAAGGAAAAGTCCTAGCCAGCTCTGTACACATCGATACAAGGAAATAGGGTCAAACTCAGCCGAAATAGAGCCAATTGCTCCTCTTTCAAGGAGAGTCACCTAGGTGGTCCTCCACAAGCCCCTACATGCCCCCTCCCTTTTTTATTTACATTGAAAACTCATTTTCTCCAGTTTCAAGAAGCTGATAGGAGGAGGAAGTAACCTGTAAAATAAGTTATTGAGGTATGGCTTTAAATCGTGTGGCCAGAACTGGGTCAGAAATTAAATTACACAGGGCCTAGAAGAACTGAGGAGAGGGTCACTATTGACCCTAAACAGTGTGCCCGTCCAAGAAGAAAGAACATGCAGGGATCCCCACCAGGAGGGAACTCCTATCCCATTTTTGTTTTGTTTTTTGAAATCCAGGGTAAACCAGAGGGTTCTGGTCACCAGGGTACGTGTTTAAATCCAGGACCAGGCAAACCGTGTCATGGAGGCTCATGTTCTAGTGAGAAAACCCAAGGTAGACCCCATTGTAGCATATAAAGAAAGTTCCAACAGTTGGAGTGAGGCGCTGGGCCAGGTTACAGAGGCACAGTTAGCCAACACATTTTGGGAATCTATATCCCAAAAAGCACATGGTGTTTTTTATTTGGGTTGGAGTGGCTTGGAGCTGAATCACTAAAGAGTGAGTAACACTGAACCTGGATGTGTCTGGAGTCAGTCCCAAAGCCCCTTGGAGAGGGCTGTAAGCAGCGTACAGAGCCAGCAGTCTTTGTCTCGGGTGGGATTAATCTGCTGGAGGACAGCAAGAGTTCCATTTACCAGTTTTAACAGTTCTGGAGCAGTTGAGATAGGGCTCTTGGTGTGTGAGAGCCTATAGTTGGTGAAAACCTTGAAAGTGGGGATAAAACCTTTTGAGTATGTAACAGCACTGCAGGGTCTTTATCGGTGTCATCCACTCAGATGACCAGCAGGCAGCCTGAAGCCCAGACAGTGTCATTGGGGTTATACACATGATACTGAACAGGATTACAGGCACCTTTTGTACAATTTAAGAGAGTTAGAGACTGGGTGAGAAGGCACCATGCATTGTAGGAAGGACTTTTTTTTTTTCCCCTCTGTACCAGGAATCAAACTCATAACTTCGCACTTGCCAGGCGGGCGCTGTGCCGCTGAGCTAAATCCCCAGCCCCAGGAAGGACTTTTTAAACCTTTCATATACCATAGTCTTTTTCCTCCCTGGGCCAATGTATATTGGCACATTTTTAATAGCCATAGTAACAGTTGTGTAAGTTATTACATGCATCATCGGGGCCGGTTTGAGGTGGCTCTGACCAACCATGACAAACATACTTATTGTTGGTTTCATAAGTTCATTTCCAACTCAGGTCATCACAGCTGGTGTAATAACCATTAATCCTTTTGTGGGGGCAGGCATCGAAGTACAAGGTCACATCAAGCTGACAGGGGTCCCACCTAGTGTGGTTGAGTTTTTGTGCATCTCCCAGGTGGGCTTGGAACTCTTAATATTTTAATATTTTCCCTTCTGAGCAAGGGTGAAATACAGTAACCCAGTGTACATGTCCAAGGGGCAGCGATGCCAGCCATGTTACAGTTTTGAGAGACAGTTTAGCATGCTCAGTCCAGCAATCATAACAAGATAGAAAAGAACAGGGGGCTGGAGATTTAGCTCAGTGGCACAGCACCTGCCTGGCAAGTGCAAGGTCGTGAGTTCGATTCCTGGTACCAGAGAAAAACCAAAAAAAAAAAAAAAAAAGAGAGAGAAAAGAACAAAGGCTACCTTGTCCAGAGCTCCCCAATCCTCTGAGCACATGGCCCCAAACCCTGTAGCAAACACCATGGTTATGGCAAGATAAGGAACTAAAAACCAAACTGGGAAGCAGTACCTGAGTCTATTCAAGTTATGCCGTCCATTCAATCTTCAGCAGTGCGTTGACACGTCAGCTTCTAGGGGTGACGAAGGCAGGCTTTGGGTGCGTAGTCGCTTCAGGGTAGTCTTT